CAGAGCGTACAGGACACTGCAGCCTACCAATTAATGGATACGTTTTTAGAACTATGAGATCACTGGTAGATAAAATAAATGTGTTTAGAACCCTGATGAGAAAGAATCATACGGATATAAGACATCTTTAAGACCTACTCAACAATAGAAAAAAATCTACAAAAAGACTTCTGACGGAAACGTTGTAGAGGGAGAGATTGTAGTGCTTTCAACATAAGTTGTTTTAAGCACGAACATGACAGTGTCAGTGTAACCTCGATGGCAGAAAACATTTTATTTAAAAATGAATCACCTCTGTTGTACTTCAAATTCCTTTGTTAATTTGTACCTCTTTGAATTTATTTTGCAATCAATCCCAAAATATTTTTAAAAAGAATTCATACTGCATACATACAATTTTCCCAGTGACAGTATCAAGAACTTCATAAACTCAATATAAAAATAGATTAAAAGATGGATATATGATATGGTTGGCTGTACATTAGTGCGGTGGTCAACACCATTGCCTTGCAGGAAAAGTGTTTCTATTCACATCCCAAGGGGCCAGTGGCCTTTTTGTGTTGAGTCTGCACGTTTTCCCCATGTACGCCTGCGTCACAGTCTAAAAATGTGCATGACATGGGATAAAATGATAATCCACTACTAATGAAGTAGTGGATTGGTGACCTATTGAGGAGTTTACCCTGCCTTTCGTCTAATGTCACCTGGCCCACCTTCAACCCTATTAGTGGTGTTTCTGAACATGAAATCAGCTTATGAAAGACTTAATAAAGAACATTTAAAAAAACCTATTGGTAATAGGGTCCTGGTATTGCGGCCTCACCATACATGGCTGTTCCATACTCTTGCTGTGTGCATGTAAATATGAGATGTAACTCTTACAGGAGGAACACTGGCCCCTCTTTCTCTCAGTGGTGGTGGTACCTACATTCATCCAACTGATGCTGCTGCCGTGGTTTCCAGAGAGCCCTCGATATTTGCTGATTGAGAAGGACAATATCCATGCTACAATCACAGGTTTGTGTTGTGGTTGTTTCAGTGAGGACATGTCACGGACTAGTGACCTGTCCAGTGTGAACCTTGCTTCTAACATGAATAAATGGATTATGGTTATAAAAAAATGTTTTGAAAAAATTATATAGATATTTGGTTTAATCTACTTTGACAATTACATGTCATGCAGTTAATTGCACCTGTAATTCGTGGTAAAATTCAGAAATAATTAATTTATCCACATATCCACAAAATAAAACGGAAAAAATGTAATGGTTAAGGACGTAGCCCTAATTCCTGGCTACTACTTAGAGAAATTACCATGCCCATTTGCAGTTTACAGGAATACATGTCCAGTTTTTTCAAGTAGCACGTTGAATCAAAATGATTATTGACTATAAAGTTTGGGATTTAGTTCTACAATATTGTTATTTACAGTTAAACTAAAATGTGCATTAATATTCCAATGTAATTTTTAGGAAGTGATTGAAATGTTGCCATACTGTCGCAAACATTATGACTTACTGTCATCTTTGAATATAGTGCAAAATAAAACAACAAAACAACAAACTACAAATTGAAAAACAGAACATTTTAGAAAACTATGGAAGTAAATATGTGCCATCAGAATTTGAATAAAAAATACCTCTGAAATTTGAATGTTGTATATTAGTGCTTACTTTTTCAGTATTAAAATAAATTTAGAGTATATTTTTAACCTAAAAAAAATTCAATGTCATTATTTGTACATAAAAAAAAAATTCAGTGTAATTTTTTTTACATGGTTGCAATTTTCAGTTGTTTAAAAAATTCACATTCCTATTTCAAAGTGATCAAATTTTCAATATACATATTTTTCACAGTTTAAATTTTCAGTGTTAAAAAATTCAGCATGTAAAAAATTCAATTTTTCAAAATTCTAATGCATTATTTTCGTTGTCCTCCAATTCAACTTGCTCAAATTCGCTGTCTCAAATTCAGCGTCTAAAAATTCGCTGTAAAAATGGCCAATGTTACTTCGTGTCACAGACATTAGCAATGGATGTCCGATTCCAACATCCACCTAATCACGTGACCCAAACCAGTGTTTTAAATCAGGCTTTAAGATAATGTATCAAAATTCATGCGCAAAATAAAATATACTACAGAAATATGAAAGCATTAAACTCCCCGTTGGGTTTGAGTTCGCCTCCATGGTCGCCAGCCTGGGTGATACTGGTACTTCTTCAATATGACGGTTGTGTCACGTGATTAGGTGGATGTTGGAATCGGACATCCATTGCTAATGTCTGTGACACAAAGTAACAATGGCCATTTTTACAGCGAATTTTTAGACGCTGAATTTGAGACAGCGAATTTGAGCAAGTTGAATTGGAGGACAACGAAAATATTGCATTTGAATTTTGAAAAGTTGAATTTTTTATATGCAGAATTTTTAAACACTGAAAATTTAAACTGTGAAAAATATGTATATTGAAAATTTGATCACTTTGAAATAGGAATGTGAATTTTTTTAATAACTGAAAATTGCAACCATGTAAAAAAAATTACACTGAATTTTTTTTTTATGTACAAATAATGACATTGAATTTTTTTTAGGTTAAAAATATATTCTGAATTTATTTTAATACCGAAAAGTAAGCACTAATATACAACATTCAAATTTCAGAGGTATTTTTAATTCAAATTCTGATGGCACATATTTACTTCCATAGAAAACCCAACATTGACTAAGCAAGGGTTGAAAATGAGGAAAACATGACATTAACTAAGCACAATTACAAATTAAAACATTTTGTAGATAATGCAGAGAGTAAATGCACCAAAGCCTATGTTGGTGTCTTTTTTAAAATATGTACATTTTAGATTAGCTGTTCAATCTTATTTTAACAGAGATCCCTTCACCAGAGTCTGATCATGGGAAGGATGCTGGGCAGGTTTTATTCATAATGCTCACAAATTCAAACTGCAACTGCTGATAAAAAGACTGTAGGTGACTGGTAAGGATTTCACTGGCAGACTTAGGTATTTGCGGGAGAGCAGATAATTAAGAAGTTAATTTAAGTGAATAACGTATTAATTCCATGTGAAGGAGGAGATCAGCTGCTTGGGAAATATCTGTGTGAAAGTTATATAATAATTTCCTTTGGCATGATGGTGCAAAGAACAAAACATCCAGAGGATCATCTTGTCCATAGAGCTGGTTCAGTAAGTGGATGTGTGGACAATTACTTCAGCAAAAGTAAAAAATGTCAAGGACATGCAGAAAACGGGCTATACAATATTGTGCTGTAAAACCAGTGACTGGTAGAGATTTCAGATTTGAAAATAAAATTTGGGCAAAAGTAAAAGTATTTACAATCGGAGTTAGTCAGTGGTCAGAGCACTACCAGCCACCATGTCCACTGAGAATCCTGTTGTTCCATAGTTTACATAAATAGGGAATTCATAAATACGATTGGATATGTTATGAATATATCAGTTATGCCAAATTGGCTTCTATTCTTTTTTGTTGTTGTTTGTTTTGCCTACAAAGTTTTCTAAGTTAGTTATATCGAATAAATGAAGCGACTTGTTTTTTTTTTTAAATAAAAAATATGCCAGACATCATAGAATGAAACAAATCAAATATATAATTAAATAAATAACAGATTATGAAATACATAAATGTCCCATTGATTCATTGAATGTATCATTAAAACATTAAATACATAGATAAATAACGAAATACACCATGTAATTGTAATATATGATGTATAATAAATGATGCAATTATGAAATATGTATATGAATAATTAATTATCCCATTGAATAATTAAATCTAGCTTTTTGAATAATTAATTTAGACACTGAAATGTCCTTTAAAAGAAAAATCCAGTCTACACATATATTTGATTATTTTAGTGTGCATTTATTTATTTCATGCCTTCTGCGTGAGCACTGTTGTCATGAAATAATCTAAATCCTGCCAAATCCTGGCATCAAACTCTGTGGGCAGGACTTGTGTGGCTTGTCAACTCCACACCACTAGAGAAGAGAATTAAGAACAGTCAGAGTACATATTCCAAAACTAAAAAAACAAAAAAAGGTGTAGGTGAATTTGGAGGACACCAACAATGTTTTCTATTGTTTTCTTTGTGACACAAAGTTATTCACTCGAAAGGATGTTTCCATTTTTTTAGACACTATTTGGTTGACCGTCCTTACCACTGGGTGGCGTTAATACATCCTTAGTTGTTTCTAAAACTCCAATAAACAAAAAGAAACAAGTATATGCAACTTTTCCAACTCAGATGAATGTTCTGGAATTACACAAAGGAGAATGCTTAAAAGTTGTCCAGAGTTACCGTAAGAGGCAAAACATTTATTTGAGGAAGCTCTGAGATAAGATTCCTTCACAAACGAAACATGAGTGAGATGGGCAGAATCATTGTGCTACCGTACCGTACTGCATTTCTCGGCAGGCGTAAAATTCGTAAATACATAATTGAATTATTAAATTTACTACTACATGATTAATATATCATTAAATCCTTGAATACATCAATAAATATTTAAAATGTAATTATAAATAACATTCAAATTAATTAATAATATATTTGAATAATGTAATAAATAAATGTCTCATTAAATGTCCCATGAAATAATTAAATCTACCTTTTAAATGGGACAAAAGACGTGTTTCTGGGGACACTTGGGTTTATCTAACATTCCCAACTAAAATAGAAAACAGGTTCCAACTTTTCAAAATACTGCACTGATATATCCAGATCTATTCAAATAAAACTAAAAATTATTTTATGTCATGTGGTTTCAGGCAAAGCATTATATAAATTATTGGATAAGGTCAATTTGTACTTCAGTCAGGATGTTTTAGGTCATATTGTTTATATTGCCCGAACAACCAACATTATTAGAAAAATAAAAAAAGCTAAAGAAAACATAAAAATGCTAAAAAAAAAAGACATATTAGATGTTTTATATATTTGTATTTGTCTCTGTTTTAGCACTAAAATGGTACAGGGCTAAGTGTAACATCCAGGCTGAGATTGAAGAAATGCAAGAGGAGCAGCGCTCCCTTTCGACAGTAGAAACTCTCTCAGTATGGAACCTGTTGCTGGATAACACTGTACGCTGGCAGGTGCTGAGTGTGGTGGTCATCAACATTGGAATGCAGCTGTCTGGTATTGATGCTGTGAGTACACTAAACTATTTGATGTCTAATAAAACGATTCTTTCAATACCCAGCTCTATCTGTCATTCCCACCTGGCGACCGCACGATCTCAGCTGGATAAGTTGAGAATGGTCAGCACGTATCTCAAACTATCACCATGGATGAAAGCCCATCACCTCCAACTAAATGTCTTTAAAACTGAAATTGCCTTTCTTCCCTGACAAACCAACCATATACCACAGTATTCACATCCAAGCTCTTGCTCCATCAAAGATAGCTAAATACTTGACATATCTTGGAAGATCATGTTGCTTCCATAGCTCGATTGTGTCACTTTGCATGACTAAACATAAGAAAAATGAGGCCGTATCTCCTGCCTTGATTATTGTAATGCTCGCTTTATTGGTTGCCTGAACAGTCAAACCTTTGAGAAAAGTCCAGTCTATGGTGGCCCGTCTGATCCTAAATCAGCCTAAAAAATCCCACGTCAACACTATGTTCAGTAAGTTTCATTGGCTACCCCCAAGCCACCTGCATCAAATTCAAGGCACATATATTATATTAGCCTACAAAGTTCTTAAGGGCACAGCTCACATCTACTTGAATGTTCTAGCAAATTCTTATGTGACAACTCAGTCACTCTCAACATAAAGATGAGGACTGAACACTGATCAAACTTTTCAAATAGTTTTAGTAAACATAATTAAGCATAATTGGTTTGAGGCTTTTGAGCAATATATTGTTATGATAAAATACTACTATATTAAGGATTCTTATGATAGGCAAAGAGAGAAGATGGGCAGACCTCACTTTTTCTTTTGAATAACCGAGATGATATTTAGGAGATTTAATTCCCAACTAAGTTTAAAGTGGATGACATATGTTTTTCTCTTATTTTTCTTGTTAACCCTATAATGCCAAATGTATCATATTTGATAGATACGGTTTCTGAAATGACACCTTTTGCATAATTTAATGGTAAAAACTTTGTTCAAAATCCTATTGTACACATTCAGATATACCTGAAAACGGGGCAGAAGACTACACAAAAAATAATCTTGACTTATCGCACAGTAGTAAATTATTAATATAAAAAATCTATTTCTGTTTTTTCTTTTTACATATTTTGTTAAAAGGGCAAATAAGGAATTCACACCAAGAATAATTAATTTTCTGTTTTGTTTTATTCTTGGATCAGGCTTTAAAGGGTTAAGTTAAACCTAGAAGATATATAAATAAATCTAAATCACACTGTTACAACAAGAATTATATTGCCCAGATGCCTGTCGGTAAAATTTAAAAGAGCATCACATGAGCCAAGATCACATTTTAGCAATCCATATCAAAGAAAATCTCTATAATTAAAGGAAACTATTAGAGCAAATATTCTTCAACAATCAAGATCAAGATTCTACAATCAAACGATGTTAGAAAGGTAATGAAAAGTTTTTAGAAGGGCTTCTGATACTTTCTGATTCTGATCAGTCTTGTAAACCATGGCAACAACTTGTTCAAGGTCTGAAGATCTTTTGCCTGCAATTTTGACTATTAATTTGCCAAATTTAGCCATTAATCATGCATGGCATCAACCTGACTAGAGTTGAGAAGATGGATGGAAGATGTGGAAATGCTTGGGCAGCACAATCCTGTGATGGTTTGTAGTTACTCCCAAAACCCCTTCACACCCTCACTGAAAATGAATTGTTTGCTGGCAGAATCCAACAGAATCCAAGGGTGAAAAACCCTTCTATTGTAATCGTGGGCCTAGTCTAACAAGGAAGAATGGCTTTGGGATTCGGTTAAAGTGGAATAATGGAATAAAGTAGAAAAGAGGAAAATTGAGCAGTCCAGATGATCTATTATGCCCCTTGTGTATCAATAAGACCAAATGTTCAAATGCCTTGCACAATTGTCTTGTCTAACCTGGTCCAGACCTTTGAAAGTGTATTGCACAAATCCGTTGAAAAAAACCTTAAAGAGCAATCTATTTATCCAGTTGAATGGTGGAATATGGATATCAGCAGGCCATCAAAAAATATAAAATATGGGACACTTGAACATGAAAACCCCAGTTTATTTGAACACAAGGCTGGAGGAGTGTGGTGGTTTTGGGATGCAGCTGTCATAAGTTGGTGCTGTGTCAATTGGAGACATTGTGCTTGTTCATGGAAACGTGAATGCCTACTTGACAACCATAGTGGTGTGTGTGTAGCCAGATACTTTTCATAATAACATCACAGCCTGTGTGTTTTAAATCCAAACGGCATTGACAGTTAGTCCTTTTATGGGAAGTTATTTGAAGAAATAGAGCCCATGGACACTAAACTTATGTGCATGATTACTAATGTCAGGAAAATCTTAAAATTGTTTTCAGCATTGCATTCAATATTTGTTTTGTATTTTTCACAGATTTGGTTTTATACAAATGACATCTTTGAGAATGCAGGTATCCCAGCACCAGAGATCCAGTATACCACAGCAGGTACAGGAATTATAGAGATCATCGCTGGACTTATTGGGGTAAATAAGACTAAGACGTGCATTTCCAGTGTGGAGATTTAATGCTTTTTGGTGCTGTCTTTAATATCTGTTTTAAATTCGGATTTTGAATTACTATAGCAGAAGTTAGCAAAAATGTTTCACTCCATGTTTAGCGTATTCATTTCTGTTTACATGGATGTCGGTAAAAAGAAAATGGAATTACTCTTAAAATTCCACAGAACTGTTACGTTCAGAATGTTGAAACCTCGTTTGAAACATCGTTGTATTTCATATACTATACTATATCAGCATTCATACAACCTAGGAAAAGTGTAATGAACTGTCATGTACTTCCCAGAAACTGAGATATCCATTAAAGCAGATTAACACATTCCTCTTTAAAGTGAGCAATTTCGTGTGTTCTGTGTTTTCATTTTATATTGAATAACATGAGATTTAAATCTTTTTTAGTGTTTTACCATTGAAAAGGTAGGCAGGAGGCCTCTAATGATTGGAGGCTTTGCAGTGATGGGCATCTGCAGTGCTGGAATCACAATAACCCTGATTCTACAGGTGTGTATGTGTGAGTGTGTGTGTGTGTGTGTGTGTGTGTGTGTGTGTGTGTGTGTGCATGTGTGAGGGAGATAAAAATGAGAGCTTTGTTAAAGTTGCAGTAATTATTATTACCGTAGTGTATATTTCAGCATCAACTAAACTGCTCAGCAGTGTGGATGACTGCCTCTGTATGTGTTTCAGGATATGTTGTAAACATGAAACAATAACACATGGTCATGATTAAAAGACAGACATTTTACTATACTGCTGTATTTCTATTGTGTATTTGATAGTTTCCATATTGCTGTAAATGCTGCTCACAACAGTGTGAAATTTAAAACATCTACTAAGGAATATACTTCTATTTCCCAGAAGTACATTCATATTTACATTACATTACAAATGTTTTGTTATGTGAAAAAAACAAATCTCATGATCTGCTAATTCGTCTTATGTGCCAAGATATAATAAAAAATGACCCAGTTATCGAATTTTAAATCAAGCAATGTCCGCTGATGGCCACTTGATACCTGATACTGTCTCTTCATTAATTTAAAACAAAGAGTTATGATAAAGAATGATGGAAAAAAAAGTAATTCTTCAATGGTATGCTTTTTGTTCGTCCCACAGGTTCATTTATCCTTCATGCGTTATGTCAGTGTTTGCTGTGTGGTCGGCATCATCGCTGGCTTCTGTATCGGACCAGGCAAGTTGCCAAACTCAATGTTCAAAGGTTCATTTAGATTCCAAAAGCTAGGTTTTAAATGTCTTGTAATTATTGCATTTGATAGAAGGCCCTGCTGTGAATTGAGGTACAAGTAATCACCCTCCTTTCCATTTTAAATGGACAAAAATAAACTGCTTTGGTTATATTTAACATCAGATCATTTTGGAGATTGAAAATCTGTTTCTGAAACAGTTACTCATTAAGATCAAATATAGAAGAAGTACAGGTGCCCAAATGATTTATGTATGTCTGTACACATATTAAATTTTGTTAAAGGTATATTTAAGTCCTTTGAATGGTAGAGATGAACCGGATCAATAAATTTGACCCCTTAGAGCTCTGAATAACATGAAATTAGAAAATGTTTAAAAATCAACTTATCTTAGCTTGCATATTTAAAAAAAAGTTTCAAGTAGTTACTTTTGGTGTCAACATCGTAATTTGACGATCTAGCAAAACTCTTGATGATTCTTGAAAAATAATATTAGCATGCATAGTTTGAATAGTGATTGTGTACTTACTTAGTACTTACACAATCTCATTGGCTGTTTGCTATTTATTTTTTTCCTTCAAATTGTTTTTGATCTGTAATACAGATGTGTCTTCAACTAATTTGGGATCTTATCAAGGAGGGTTTAAATAAGCTGCTCCAACACTTTCTCATTGCCATGTTTAGCTTTAGCAACTTCCCCCCAGCCATGTTTTTCACTTGTTTTCCTAAAAAATATTCTTCAAAGCATTTGGAAGTTAATCTTTCCAGAAAAAAAAGTTGCAAAGGAACACACGGCATGTCCAGAGCATGAACAGGTGCCATGGGATTTTCAAGGATGGAGTAACGAACAAGTCAGACATCCGCAATTTCGCAGAGAGTTTATTCAGGACCATATACAACATGCATAACACCAGTAGTTCTCTCACACTCTTTCAGATCGTACCATGATTAAAAAGCATCCCTCTTCACTTGTGTGTATATTTGGTGCAAGAAATTATGAATTCTGCCCATTCTGGACACAACCAGGTCTCAATAACATCCTGTTTTTACCAAAACACGTTGGTACAAATGGTCCCCTGAGACTTTATACCATTCTGGAATTATTTAGTATTATTGTACCTCATTTATTATTGCATATTGTCCTCCCTATTTTTGTATTTTATGATTTTATGATTAGTGAATTCTTTTTTTGTGTGGCTTTGTTTCTGATACAGCGGGTGTTCCTTTCCTGATCACAGCAGAGCTGTTTAAGCAGTCCCACCGCCCAGCAGCCTACATCATAGGAGGGTCACTCAACTGGTTGTCCAATTTTACCGTGGGCTTTGTCTTCCCCTTCTTACAGGTGAATCTTATAGTGTTGTGATGTTATATGTTTCTATCCTAAGTATAGCTATTCAACTTCAACCGCAAAATTGTTCAGACTCAGTATAAAGAAATAATATCAACACCTGCTAATTTCATGAATATTCTATTTTTGTAGAACATAAATAACAAAACAAATCAAATATTGCAGGTGACACGCTCAATTTTAAATTTTTTTTTTTTTTTTTTACCATTTTCTATTCAGTGTCAGCACACATTTATAAAGTGGTGGAACATATTAATTATATTACTGTGTAACATCCCCCTTTCTCTTGTAACAATGGCCCATATATGTCTGGGAACAGTTGAGACACATTGCTCAACCTTTGGGATGGGGATGTTGCCCCATTATAGTTTTATATAGGATTATAGCTGCATAAAAATATTCAGTCTCATCATATAGTATTTTACATTAGGATTTTTTACATATTAGAATCCTATGCACCGATTATGTTTGGCAATCAAATATCTTCTTTCTTGACTGCAACTTGTTTTCCAGATGATCACAAAAACTTTATGTATTTATTTATTGTCTGGCCATCCAAGACTCGTGAGAGAGTATTGATTATGGGCAGCTTTGATATGCTAACAGCTATCACCGAAATTGACCAAATAGCCCAACACTGACAGAACCTGTACACAAAGTTGAATGTTGTGTATGGCTCTGCAGAGCAGGCTCAAAATGGCTCCAAAAGTCCACGAGTATATCTCTCGGTAACGATAAGCAGTATTCTGCAACAACAGTAAAAATGCCATTTTGTGAGATGGTGTAGAATGAACAAACAAATAACCTTTTTAACACCTCATTATCTCAAAGTTGTTGCTTCTTGCATGTTTCCCTGCTCCAGATGTTGAAGTATTTCTAAACGTCTCTAATCATCTGTAAATTCCTCAATGTTAAACTCACATCATCATAATGGGACAATCATATTGGACATTTTCAGATGAATGCTTAAATAGATCTCCTTTTTAGATTTGATGTTTGTTTCATCTTCTTCTTAGAGCTACAGTATCTAATTTGGTTAATATTTCGGGGCTATTGCAGAGAATATGCGCGGCCATTATAATCAATTATTGGCACCTGTGTTTATGATGTGGTTGAGGACTTCTGAAAAATTCTCATTTTTTGTAAAACAACATAGAACCTGAATACAAAAAGAGAAAAATCCAACCTTTTATTTAATTACTTTGGTGGTAAAAATAAAATCACACATTTAGAAAAAATAAAAAACGTGAAATCATGTGTCCCACAATTATTGTCCCCCCTGATGTTAATACTTTGTACAACCCCCTTTTGCCAATAAGACAGCACTTAATCTCCTCCTATAACATTTCACAAGATTGGAGAATACAGATAGAGGAATCTTTGACCATTCTTCTTTGCACAATCTTTCTAGATCATCCAGTGTCCTGGGTCCTCTCTTATGTGCTTTTTGGCACACTCATATTTTGTTTTACGCCAGACCCACTTAAGAGGGTTTGTTGCAAAAAAGCTCAATCTTAGTCTCATCTGACCAAAGCACATGATCCCAGTTGAAGTCCCAGTGCCACTTAGCAAACTCTAGACGTTTACGTTTGTGAGTTTTAGTTGGAAAAGGCTTTTTCTTTTATGTAATTCTGTGACGGTGAGCTTAGGACTTGTTTTTTTTACTTCTCTTACCATCCTTCTCACTGTGCATTGTGGGAAGGTAAACTTGGGACCTCTTCCAGCCTTGTTTGTCACTGTTCCAGTTGTTTTAAACTTCTTAATTATTCCTCGGACCGTGGATACGGGCAAGTTAATACGAGTGGCTATTATCTTGTAGCCATTGCCTGACTTATGAAGATCGACACACATCTGCCTTACTTGAGTGGTGTGTTTTCTTGTCTTTGCCATCTTGACAAATGGGTAAGAGAATTAAGCCTCTGTGTCATGTCATATCTATACCCCAGGGAAACAGGAAATCATCAATTACTAATTCAAAGTTCCTAAATACCAACTACAAAAGCATAACTGTTAGGAGTGCCAACAATTGTGGGACACATTATTTCAAGTTTTTTACTTTCTAATTGTGTGATTTTATTTTTACCACCAAAGTAATTAAATAAAAGGTTGGATTTTTCTCTTTTTTTGTATTTGGGTTCTATTTTGTTTTTTAAAAAATTAGAATTTTTAGAAGTTCTCAACCATGTCTTAAAAAGGTGTGCCAATAATTGTGGAGGGCACTGTATATATAGTATACTATTATGTATTAGTGCACATAGTGCTTCAAAAATAAATTTGGTGATGTGAAAGTAAGACTTTTTTATATCCCATTTTCAATTTAGTTTCTGTTTTAGATGTTCTCACTGCTAAATTTGGACTTTTCAGGTTTTATCTTTAATTTAGATAATGTGAAACAAAGGAAAAATATATTCAGAACTCATGTTTCTTTTTTTTTGTCCCTTTCCATTGTCATCCATCCACCTCCTGCATTCGACTGTCAGATGTCTGCTGGATCCTACTGCTACTTGGTGTTTGCTATCATTTGTGTGTCAGTTGCCATCTATGTTTATATTGTGATCCCAGAGACTAAAAACAAGACCTTCATGGAGATCAGCTGGATGTTCTGTAAGAAAGAAGCTGTTTTGGAGACGCAGGGTTTGATTCATGTTGACCACCTAAAGCTAAAGAAGATGAATGGCTATGGGGGTATGGAACATGCCTCACTGGAGTCCGACAGCTCCTTATCTGTTCCTTAATTGATCCAGGTTCTATTTGAGAATAGAACACTATGGAATGCTTAGTTATATAACCAAAACCAAAACTACATGGGCACAAGCAAAGTTACTTAACACACAATTCCTGCAATTGTGAATTGGAACATTTGGGTACAAAAAAGGGAAGAGGGCACCACCTTTTAATTTTTTTTATACCTAAATCCATGAAAAACTCGCATGGGAAATGCATAGAATGTTAAAAACATATAACTTTGATCATTTTCTATAGTCTTTTTTATTGCTTTGGCCTATTCTCTCCTTTATTATCTCTGTAATATATGCATACAGCTAACATTGTGGGTTAGAATTCTATTGTTAGCCCAGAGTTTAGCTAAGTTTAAGATAATTTTAGATTTTTATCGCTATAGGGTATATGCAGTTGTTGTGTTAATTATTTCATGATATTTGGTGGTATTTATGTGCACAGTTCTCATCAACAATGTGCAAGTTACCTGCAGCTGAACTGTATTCAACAAACCCATAGGCTGATATGGTAATATACATGACAATAAACCTTAAGTACAGTCATTCCAGGAATAATTATCGGTTGGCATAGTAAAATAATGCTGTTTACAAACCACCCTGTTTGAAATGCATAGAGATTTTTTTAAGTACAACTCTAGCTGCTCTGTAAAGTTTCTTTCAAAAGTGTTTGTTACTAGCATCCCATACCCAATGTCTGTTAACCACTAAACAGTGGATTGGTTCAAATAAATTTTGACCACACCAGCAGTCACAATTCTTGTGTGTGAGGGCACACTAAAATAAAAAGTAATTATTATCGTAATTATTATTTTTAATCATTATTTTGGATTGTGAAGCTTTAGAAATGAGTGATAATGGTAAGGATTTTGATGACGACAAAACTCAGTTTAATAATTACAACACTATCATTGAGAAAAATGTTTAAGTCTTGCAGCTACCACTGCCCAAGTATTCTGAAAGGATATGTACTGTTTCCAAATAAATGACATACCAAAGTGTTTGCTATTTTCTCTATGAAAATTTGCAAATAGTATTTACCCTATAGCATCCGATGTGCCACATTATCTTGCGGCAACTCTGAAATAATAAAGATATTATAATGAAAATAGTTTGGCTTTCATGAATTGTTTTGTACACAATTTCATATTGAATACATTCCATATAACCAATAATAAAAAAGAGGTATAGGTTACTGCATGGTAGTGTGGTACTTAACACTATCAAAACATGAAAAAAGGTATGAGTTCATCATCTCATAACAGAGCCTAAGTGTGATGGACCACATGTGACAAACCTGTCAATGCAATTTTAGCAGTATTTGCTTCCCCTTTTTCAACGTTCTCTCTGCTCTTTTCTTAACAGCACAGATAATAACCAATTGGCCGCAGATCATCATGATTATTGGGCCGGTAGTCAGGAAATACAGTCCTGTGCTTACATTTTTTTCTTTTGTTCTGCCTAAGGCTGGCACAGGGGCAAGATGAACAGGAGTGATGCTTAAAAATGTGATCAGACTAGCTTGATTTTAAGAAATGTAGTGACCGAAGGAAGTTAATAACCCTTAATTAATTCATTAATTAGTAAGAAGGACACACTGGTTCATTAGCCCGGGAAGTACAGGAGATGCTGTTCGAGTTCGAATGTTTTATTTTTCTAACAATAGTTTAATCTTTAAACACATACTTGTTGAATCCTAACAGAAACAAACAGAGACAAAGGGAACTGAATCTTTACCGACTGGAGTTTTGGACAAAGAATGGATTAGAATAAAAGAGAGGACACCCTACTCACACACACACACACTCTGTAAGATACGAAAAGCATGCTAGACTACTTTAAGATGAGAATGGGGACCGCCCAATGAAAAAACAAAGGGTTTCACCACCTCGTGGACCACCAGAACCTCCGCCGGCCTACAGCTCTGAAAGAAAATTAACAACTCAATAAATGAAGCGAAATCAAATAAAGAAGTAGAAAACTCAAAAATATAAAACCTATGGCTGAGCTGTCAACTCAACATAATCACTCAATTAACAAAAAGAAAAACTCAAATATTTAACAGAAATCCCAGTTTTACCATTCCAAAGTAAAAACAGCAAATAAATTAGAATGAATGCATTAATAACCTTAATCAGGCACACAAACTAATCAAAGTCAGTCAAAATACCCTAAAACAGTCAAATTCCACACACACACACTAATTCCCACAACTATTAGTTAAACCAGGGGTGTCCAAACTTTTTGCAAAGAGGGCCAGATTTGATAAAGTGAAGATGCCCGGGGGCCAATAGTTTGTTCAGACATATAAAACACAAATTGTGCCTTTCATTCATATCTGGAGTCAGATAACATTGAAAAAACTGTATGAAATGCCTTAAATTTGCACGAGTTTAAAAATATCTTTGCCTCGTGAACATTTAAAACAGGAGTTATGAGTAATGCTCTGTTATTATTAAATCTTAAAACAAGTGAATTTTGCTCTTGTCATTTACAATATCTTTCAGAAAATAATAGCTTGTGTCACAGCTACAGGTTTATAACATCAACAGTAATAACCAAATCTTACTCAAGAGTTTAATTAAAATAAGTGTCATAAATCCAAGTGCATAAATGTTTTTTTGCTTTTCACTGTTGATAGTGACAGATGTTACCGTTCAAAATACTCAATTTCAGATTGATCAAGAAACGGATACCTTCCTGACACTAATGAGAAGGGTGATACTGAGATCTGGATTTCAGTAAAGAGACCAGGTCTGGTTTGAGGGCAGTGGTTGAAATGCGTAAAATGTCACGCAAGTGGGGGTCACTTAGTCTTGACCTCAATTGATTCTTGTTTAAGTTCATGACAGAGAATGTCTTCTCACACAAATATGTGGAGGCCCAATAAGTTCAGCATTTTCTTAGCAAATGTTCGCATTTCTGGAAACCTGTCTTCATCCAGCTTGCGGTAAAAGTCAACAAGGGAAAGCTGCTGGTGTTTGCCGCGCCATTCATCGTCACACTGCAGCTCAGTAAGCTCCAGCTGCAGCTGTGGAGGAGCATCATCAGGGTCCACGGAGAAGGGAGAAGAGAAAAGCAGCATGTCCTTTTCCATAACTGCAAAATCCCGAAAGCGTTTGTTAAATTCCACAGAATGAGATGTGATAGCTGTTGCATAAGTCTTCATTTGCGCACCGATGTTGTCCTGTGGGAAACTGTCAATGACCTCTTTCAAAGCCAGGAAGTGCGTGGTGCAGGGCTCTGTTTGGGACAAGTGTCTTTGGAAAAATTGCAGCTTGGTTCCAAAGGCTTTGATGTGAGCAAATAGCTGGCTCACCACTGCATCTCGTCATTGAAGATAGCCACCTCACATCGTTGTGATATATTACGTCTCCGTATTCAGCCTGGATGTCAAGCAAGAACTTCTGAAACTGTCGGTGGTATAGTGCTTCAGAGTGAATAGAATTGATTACCTTTACCACTGGTTTCATAACATGATCAAATTTGAGATGTTTGTCGCAGAGAGCCTGCTGGTGAATTATACAGTGAAGTTTAATGGCGTTACCTCCTTCTTCGTTGACTTTATTGCAGATCAGTGTGGACAATCCACTTCGCTCACCAGCCATGGCAGGCGCACCATGGGTAATGAGCCCAGAAACTTTACTCCATGGTAGTTTCATACCATCAACAGCTTTACAAACAGAAACGAATAAATCCGATCCTGTGGTTTGGCCTTTCATGCTTTGGAGGTCCAACAGCTCCTCTGTTATGTTCATGTTATTGTCAACTCCTCTTAAAAAAATCAGTAGCTGTGCAGTGTCAGATGCATCTGTGCTTTCATCGCAGGCTAATGAGAAATAATCAAAAGCCTCTCCCCCAGTTGGCTCTGAATATCCGCCGATATGTCCTCAACTCTCCGTGCCACAGTGTTACGTGCCAGGCAAAAATTAGCAAATTCTTGCTTCTTCTCAGGGCAAATGTTCTCCACCATTTTCATAACACAGTCTTTGATAAATGCACCTCCAGTAAAAGGTTTGCCATGTTTAGCTATTAACATGGCCACTTCGTAGCTTGCTTTAGTGATATTTTCTTTTGACTCATAGTTGGAGCTGCTGCACCTTTTCAGCACAGTCACTCCCTGTTCGCTTGTTTCGTCTGGTAGTGTCTCTGGTCACTACCAGACTAAAGAGACACTTCTCTTTACGTTGAAATCCTTAAAAAAGAGGGAGGGTAATGACCTCCTATTATCTCTTTGCATTGTGATTGAGAGGCAGAGGGATGGCTAAGCCTCAGTCCTCCTGATTCTTGTGTGTTTATGTTTATGTTCATGTCTGCTGTCTGATCTTGGACCGATTGTACTGAAATGTGATTTTGTTGTTCTGGAATGTTGGTTCAATGAGAAGCTTTTCTGATTCTGATTAAACATAATAATTATGTCCCATACCTCCACAAAAAGAACAACCAAAGTAGACAAACTGTTTCTGCTCAAAAAGCATCTCAGCCAACTGGGACTATGTCCAGCCGCTCAAATTGCGAGTCCCTCCTTGGAAACTGTATTGTAATAAGTTAGTCACTCTTGTATAATATCCCTCTCAACTGAGTGTTTATGTTTATGCATTTAGCAGTTCTCTCAGTGGTGACAGCAAAGAGAGAGAGGGAAAAGCAGAAAGAGTAGTAGAGGGGGTATAGAGGTATGGGTAAGAGTTAAGATAGGAGATTATCTTTAAGAGTTTCCTGAAGATAGACAGGGCCGCTGCTGTTCTTGTAGCGCTTGGTAGGTCGTTCCACCATCTTGGAAGAACACATGAAAACAGTCTGGATTGTTTTAGGCGTGGCGTAGGCACTGCTGGACGACAATCCATTGATGACCGGAGTGACCGAGTTGTGACATAAGCCTTTGCAAGAGGGTTCAAGTAGATGGGAGCCATACCCTTTAGCACTTTGTAGGCTACCATCAGTGACTTGAACCTGTGAAGCTCAATGAAAACAGGGGTGACGTGAGACTTTTTGGGCTGATTAAAGACCAGATGCGCTGCCTCGTTCTGGATCATTTGAAACGGTTTTACCGTGGAGACAGGGGGACCAGTCAGGAGTGCGTTATAATAGTCAAGGCGGGAGATAACCATAGACTGCACCAGGAGCTGGGTAGCATGTTGGGTTAGGTATGGCCGGATCTTTCTTATGTTTAGTAGTGTGAAGCGACAAGATCAAGAAACGGAGGTAACATGATCTCTAAAGGTCAGCTGGTCAACAATTATGACACCCAAGTATTTAGCTATCTTTGATGAAGTCAGAGAGAGGGATCCAGTCTGCATGTGAATATTGTATGGTTGTTTTTCTCGGGAAAAACAAGCAGTTAAGTTTTTGAGCGCTTCAGTTGGAGGTGATGGGCTTTCATCGATTTTGATATATCAGAGAGACAGTCTGAGATGCGTGTTGAGACCATGTGGTCATCAAGTGGAAATGACAGAACACACAGTGTACACAGTATCACAAGCTTTCTTTTATAACAGCAGCCGTTTTTCATCCTCCATGTTTGTGTTGCTCTCTCTTGAGTCTCTCTTCATGAACCAAAGCTGTCAGTGTGTGTGGTAGAAAAAACGACAATAAAATGAGAAATGTTTAATTCTCCAGATCAATAGCAAAACAAAAAAGGCTCATGAGTAGTAACACTGTCCCACTGACGTCTCTCAAAGGTTTTCCCAAACAGCATTAATTGCTTTTGAAGTGGCCTTGTGAAGAGTGAAGAGAAGGGCAGAGCTGTCAACTGGCAAAGTAAAGGTGTACAAATCAATAAATAAACCTTAGAAGGTAAATAAAAGTTTCAATGCAGGGCATTGTAAGTCGTAAATTCAGTTGTCGTGGAGGGATGGCAGCATGGTCTTGGTGTCAATATTAGAGCTGGAAGTTGTTATGCAACTGGGCAGAGGAGGGCTGATTGTGGGAGCTGCTGCATAGTTGAAAGAACAGAAGAACTAAGGAGGCCTGGCTAATGAGAGCTACCCTGTGGTTCTCTGAAAGCAAGCAAGTTCATGGGTAGAGGATAATTTGCACAAATGTGAATTCAAATTGCTTTACAATTTGGAATCACTGTGACATGGAATCACAAAACACATAATTTGTCATGTTTGGGTTAACGTGTCTTGCCCACATGCAGAACACCAGAATTTGAACGAAAGTCAGTTAAAGATATTTATTGTACATCCACAACGAACAGCGTGATGTGGGGGGTCTTCGGCGAGGGGATCGGGAAACAGCGGTTACTGCGGGACCACCAGTGGAGATGGTGAGTTCAGGTCCGGTGGGAATTTCTGCGGTTGAGAGGGGAGGATCGGCGCTTACCTGGGACGATGACGGAATAGGATTCGGGGAAGGCGTCTGTGGTTCCAGGCAGAAAGAGGTCCTAAACGAGGAGGCAGCGTTGGAGGGCGGACAGGCCAGCTCCGTCTCGGCGGGGGTGGAGAAGGTCCGATGCCCCCCCGCTGATCGCTGGGGAGTCAGGTGATCGGCTGGGAGAACTGAAACGCGGGACTCGGGCATCCAACAAAAAAACACCTGAAGAGTACAGAGGACAACGAAGAATTACTCTCGAGGGAAAAAGCTGACTCAGAAGCCTAGCACTGAGGGGCTCGGGTACCATGTAGGTAAAACACTCCGGCGTCGGAGTGCTGGCAGGCAGCTTCTTTAAACTCCGGGAGGTGATGAGGTGATGCCAGCCCGGTGCGCGGAACCATGGGCACGCCTACCCAGTGCACAGCTCCCGGCGCTCCCTGGTGGCCACCAGTGAGGCCAACAAAAACAAAACAACAAAAACAAACGCCCCTGGAACCCGACATAATTATAATCAGCAATATATTACATTAAAGGTAACATTGAAATACTTACAGTTACAGAATATCTATTTTTTGGACAATCTCATTCCCTCCAATTGACTGCAATGGAACCCTTTCGGAAGTGACACAGGACTCCCACTAATGTATTTGTGGAAACAGGACCAGTGAGTAGTTTCTTGAAACTTGGCCAAACAGTCAAATACCACACGTATTTTTCCTGGCTTTTGTGGATGATAGACTCCATGATGTGGAATGTACCAAACTAAATTCATCTCAGTTTTTTCCTCTAGAACTTTCTCTGCATCACCACAAGAAATTATAATCCATAAAATGTACACAGTCTTTGTAGCAGTGGCGGACCGTGCATTTCACACCTAGGCCTTCAGTAGTGCTCCGTCTGAATCAATTCACCCCTCAATAACTATTTTATGGTTATAGAAATCATCTTATTATGTAGAAATACAGTAGGGATGTCCCGATCCAGCTTTTTGTATTAAAATTGTATTTTCTTTTTCTACTTACTTAGTTGACGGACTCATGTTGAACAGGGATTTACTCTGATAACAACTAAAGTTTACACAGACCTGTGGGTTACAGATGCTAATGCTAATGCTCGGGTGGGATCGGACTTTTAAAAATAAATGTATCTGGCATTTTCTCATGCCGGCCGATACGATCCAAATATCGGATCAGGACAAGCCTAAAATACAGTATAAAGATCAGGGGTGCACAAGTCTTCTACTCCTGCAGCTACAGCTGCCCCGCTACACCCAAAAAAAAATACAAAATAAAAATACATCAATAATATCCTCATAAACTCGCAATATTATTTAGGAAAAAAACATTTTACTCACTTAATTTTCTTGAAAAGTCCGTTTTGAAAATGGTCTTGACAGTAAATCCTTCACGAAATAATAAAATAGCTATTACACCAACACAACTATATTTCGGTTTGTTTGCTAGCTTTGCCCTGATTGGATATCTGACTATCCAATCAGCGGGTGTGGGTACGGTGGCATTTCCTGGGCCTTCGCGCAGGCCCTGGCATCACCAACCTAAAGCTGATTGGTTGAAGCAACAATGTACTTGACATGTATTTTCTGTGGGGGGGGGCCTGCAGAACGGATTGTGAAGGCCTCCTGGCAGACATCTTTGACTTTGACCCTGCCTAGCGACAAAGGATGTCTGAAATGTGATTGGTTAAATGCTTTTATGTGAAAATACATGTCTGGAAGCAGCGCAACCAGGGGGAAAGCTATGAAAGGAAGCTGACAGACTATTTTGAGATATTTAATTTAAGTTTTCATGGACAAAATATAATTAACATCAGTCTGTGATTCAGATATTTTCTTAGGCCTTCAGAGAAGGCCTTGAAGGCCCTGACGGCCCACCACTGCTTTGTAGTAGTTTTCTTCTTTCTTCAGTCTCCTCTCAAGACAATTGAGGCGATGTATTGCACATGTCTTGCTTTTAGGCAAGTTTGGTCTTCGCTCTTTGAATGGTAATGGCATTTAATAATGACCATTTTCGGTTTGTGTGATGTTTTCTCTGTGTTGACAGAAACTTGAAATCCTCTAGAGTCATAGGATCACCATTGCCAGCTCTTTCTGAGAAGTCTGACTCAAGTATTCTTATTTCTGAGGGAGAGATTTCCTTCACAGTTTTAACATTGACAGAAGGCTTAATTCCTGGTGTCATTTGTCTCACTACTATGCGATGACTGATCCCAAAGGCATCATCATAATCTAGACTGGGATTTCCATAATCAACAACACTCCATCCAAGGTCAGTAAACTGTGCATAAGGCTGATTTTTTTGACCAAACACAACTTCCCTTGTGAGTAGGGCTTGTGAGAAGTTGTATCCAATGCCCAGACCCACCTCACAACTCAGAAGAGTTGCAATCTCATCTTGATGGTGCTCTAGATGGGGCAAGGCTTTTGCTGTTTCACCTGTTGGTATGTGGCTTCTGTTAACTGGAATAAACTTGAATGCTTGAACCTGCTTGAATGCTCTCCGTTTGCTCTTATAAAGGAAATTACAGAATGTGATTTAAAGGTGCTTGAGTTGAAGAGAAAACCTGCTTCCGGCCGATCTTCCTCTTTTCATTCTGGATTCTTTCCATCCAGTTGACTTCAGGCTCTATGAACAATAAACTTTGAGATCTTTTGTTACAACAAGCTTGTTGAGGGAAAAAGGTTGTAACACAAATATCGAAAAGTTATTTATTAACTAAAGAAAAGATTCAACCAATGAATACAAAAGCAGCAATCAAATACCAAAAAGAGATTAAAAACAGAATACAAAACTGCACTTAAACCAGATTATCCAAGGCAGTACAAACAACCACAAAAAAACTAACTAATATTATTCAAAACAGACCAAATTAAATTGAAGTGCCACAGCAGTTCAAAAACAATATGCTAGAAAGTTACACACAGGCCTTTGAGCAGGGCAGTAACAATTTTCTCCTCGGGTCCTTGACTCCTGGCTCCTTAAATCCTGCTTTGTGGGCCCTCCTCATTGGTGGAATGGCCTCCTCGCAGGTGGATGGCATCAGTTTGTTACTGCAGGATCCTTTGGACCTAGTGAGGCCTCACAAAATAGCAAGGAAGTCAATCCCCCCTCCACAGGACATGGCAGTGACCGTTACATCTCAACACACAGATCCACACTTCAACGGGTCTCTTAGACTGGAGTTTAGACTAGCGAAGCTCATCATAAATGTGCTGGACATCTGCAGAAAGACCTGTTACATCACCAATAATATCATTAAGCAGATCTTCAGGCTCTGATGATTGTGATAATGGCTGCTTTGCAGATTTGGTTTGTGTTCTCCATTTGTCATAAATGTAGTCAAACCTTTGTTGAAGTGCTTTAATCTTTTCAACTTGCTTTTATTTACCCTTCTCGGTAAGAGATTCTTTGATTTTGTTTCAGTTGCTGCTCTTGCTGGGCTTCTTCAGATTGATCTTTTAAATTTGCACTCTTACTAACATCATTCCTTGCTGGAGTTGCAGACTGACTTTGGTTTGATATCTTCCAATCACTGCTTTAAACTGACCAAAGCAACCGTAAATAGTGAATGAACCTCTACATCAACCTCAAAACTTACTGACATGTACTGTAAATAAAATTTAAATTTAAAGACCTTGAGGTTTACACAAAGCAAATTATGTTCAATATTTAAAATATGCCATGGTATGGAAAAAACATTGAATATTGGACCTTTAAATTAGACAAAATATATTAACAATTGGAAAACTTCGAGCTTCAACATCAAATCGTAAAAAGCCTTCAATTATTACCTTAAAAAATACACTTTGAAGTTTCACTGTTTCAATAAGAAAACGTACCCTTTAACTTTGGCACTTTTAGCATGTCTATAAATGGCAAACTTCAGTTATTACACACCACAATATATTTTCACAACAAAATCTTCAGTCAAATGTTTACGAAAGCCCTTCTTAGACAGCTCTTGACTTTAGTGTCCAAGCTCCTTTTGGCTTTGTCTTGTAAATGTTGCACTGGAAGATTAGATGTGTCTTCTTACTTCTTTCTGTGGCATATAATTCTGTATCTGTCGGACTTTGCTGCTCCATGCACTATAGACTCATTGTCAATAGTGTGCTAATACTTTTAACTTTCTGTGTTGTTTCAGTATTTCCACTTGCATCTATGGACAGTCGAGTTTTCACTATAATTCCCTCCAAACACAAGCAGACTCAATTGGTTTTCTTTACTGGTTTATTTTAAGTTGCTCTTGGTCTCTCCAAATCATCCATGAAAACTTGTTGGCTAAATGCTGCAAGTAAAACGTGGATTGCCCCAAAATCTTTAAGATGATCTTTGATAAACTTCCTGAGTATCAACAGTGCAAAAATCCTTAATAACTTCTTAATTGCCTCTCCCGCTTCTGTCAGTCACATTTCTTGCTCCATCCTTCTCTTACTCGTGAACAAGACCCCAAGATACTTTTACTCCTCCACCTGGGACAGGACCTCATTCCCGACCTGAAGAGGACCCTCCATCCTTTGTCAGCTGATTGTCTCAGATTTGGAGGAGCTTATTCTCACTCTAGTTGATTCATACTCAGCTGTGAATCAACTGGATATCCTGGCCCAATGGCACAAACACACCTAAATCATGTGCAAAAAGCAGAAATCCAATCCTAAAGCCACCAAACCAGATCCCCTCAATGCTTTGACTGTGCCCAGAAATTCTGTCCATAAAAGTTATCAACAGAATAGGTGACAAAGGGCAGCCTCACTGGAAACAAATCTGACTTACTGCTGGCAATGCAGACAAAACTCTGGCACCAGTCGTACAGGGATTGGACAGCTCAAACAAGATAGTTCAGTACTCCATACACCCGCAGCACCCTCCATAGGGGTCTCCAGAGAACGTGGTTGAATGCCTTCTCTAAGTCCACAAAATACATGTAGACTGGCTGGGCTTGGGGAACTCTCTTGCCCTCTCCAAAACCCTGAAGAGGGTGTAGAGCTGGTCCAATGTTCCACAATCAGGACGAACATGGCACTGCTCCTCTTCCAGTAGCAATTTGATCTGACAGACCCTCCTCTCCAGGACCAGGGAGAATCTCTTCAAAGCTGACAGGAAGCCGTTTTTCATGGCCTCTCCAGACTCCTCCCATGTCCGAGTCTTTGCCTAAGCAACCATTGAGGCCACATTCTGCTTAGCCTGCCAAAACCTGTCAGCTGCCTCCAGCCTTGTAGGACTTCTTCTTCAACTTGATGGCATCCCTCTCTTCTGGTCTCCACCAACGAGCTCTGAGGTTATTACCATGACAGGCACCAATAGCACTGTAGCCCCAACTCTGGTCAGCCACCAGCAATAGAAGCACGACCCATAGCCCACTTGGACTCAATGTCCATCACTTCACTGGGAACATGGATGAAGTTCCATTGAAGATGCAACAGGGGACAGGGGAATATCTGGCCCAGCAGACCTTCACAGCATATTTGAGCCTGCAGGGCCCGATCAGCAACTTCCCACAACATCTGAGTTAAGTAACCACCAAATGGTGATCCAAGACATATGCCTGTAAGTTTGAAAATATGACAAATATACAGCCCATGAGGCTTTTTAATCTGGCCCACTAAATTTGTACAAATTAAATGTGGCGGTACCTATGCTTTCCCGATTGCCAACTTGAATTTTAAAATCACTAATTTAATAATACTGGAAAGTTACCTTTAAGGCACACAGGCCCGCTACATATGAGGCACGAGACAATTCCACTCAATCCAATCAGTTCATTTATTTCAGTTTTCTAGTCAGAAATATATATAAATTTATAATCACTTACACATTAAAATGACATTTACGGCTCAACTCGAAGCTGGCAGTGACCAACAAAGGAAACACAGCAAACAAAATAAAAGAAAATCGTGCGCAAACCAAAGAAAGTACCACCACCCGGAAAGTCCACCACCAACACCACGGGCTGGCCGTTCCAGTCAAAATAAAGACATTCAAATTACATATATTTCACAGTCATACAGTTCAGTCCACACGAATCAAGCAGTAGCAGTCCAAGTTAGGAGTCCGTCCTGAGTCGAACAGCCGCGCCACAGCAAACGCCGCCCGGAGCGGCACTAAAAGAATCAGGACGAGCTGGTCGCAAACCAGCCTGAATCAGCCACACTGGACGAAGGACAAGAGCCAGCTTACGCCGACCAGGACAGCGGGCAGGCAGCCGTCAGCCGACGACGAATAACCAGGTCACAGGCGGACGGACCGTCAACCAGGAACAACCGAGCATGGGCAAGCAGCCGGCCAAGGACAAACAGCAGCGTATATCAAACATAGATGTCAAAAATAGAATTTGGAAGCATACGTGAAATGAGCTTTCGCTTACCACTGAGCTTGATGAGTTATGCCTCTGGCAGAGAGAAGAAGCAGGCAGCTTCTACAAGTCACCACCAGAAGGCTTGATCAGCAGTTAGTGTTTAAGCGCGTCAGTCGTATAGCGCCAACAAACAGTGAAGTCTGAACCGGAAGGAAAACGTGTTGTCTACCAGGTGAGGGAGGACCCTTTATATACAGACAGCGCCACAACCAATTAAAGTCAGGCACTTGTGTGGTGCGTTCAGAGCCCACAGGGCATACTGCCACATATAGTAAAAACCCATGAATGTGTAAAAACTTCATTTATTTCGTTTCCCCTTGCAATACCCTTGTTTCCCCAAGAGATGGTGCACTAGTCTAGACAGATTGACCTTTGTTGGATTGTAACTTTCCATTTACCCCCCTTTGGTAAAAATGGACAGACCAAAGAAAAGAAAAGTAGACACTGAGTGCCGAGTGTGTAAAAAGAATTGGACAACAAAATATTTTTTCACTGAAGCCCGATCAACAACTGTATGTCTGATATGACAAGAAACGTTTGCAGCCATCACTTTGCCACGAAGTATGCTAACTAATAGTTAACTAATAGTTAGCATACTTCTGGGCAAGTTTTGCGCAAGTTTTTTGCTGGTATTAAAATTCGCTAAGGCTAACAAACTTTTTTCCCTGAAGGCGAGTTTTTTATGTTAAAGAATATATGTCAAAGACAGCGGAAAGAAAGGCAGAGTAATTTAAGTTATATTCACTACCACAGGATGAAATACACTGCTCAGCTCCTACTTTTTATCCAAGGGGTTAATGACAGTTGAGATAACGGAGGAGCTTTTGAGCATGGAATCTCTGAGGGGGAAAACCCATATGGAAAGTTTGGAGGAGGGTCTTCTGATTTAGAGCTACAGGAGCGGTACAGTATCTTAATCAACACGTTGCACATTTGAAGACCTCTTTCTAGTTTCTGCTGTTGGCAGGATATCTAATACAGTTTATCTCCAAGGACAACATGTCCATGATATTGCAGAGTTTAAAACCATTCTAAATAATTGAGCTTGAGTACTTTATTGGATAATAATATGTTCTCAATGTTGAATTTGATTCCATTGGTCTTTTTTTAGTAAATGTTGATTTCTTTAGCTTTGCTCCTTCAATTTTTTTTATATATTTCAATCTCCCCAACAAAAATGCACACAGCCGGGGTAATAAGTAAGTCCACACCCGCTGGGAGCCTCTCACTCAACTCCAGAGTGGAAGAGGGTCCAGCCCTTCTCAAGGACACTGGTTTCGGGAACTCAGGCTATGACAGAGGGGTGACATTCCACTTCCCTAGAGCAAGTCCTTACCTGCTGCCTAGTTCACACTGCACCCAACCCCTACGGGCCCTCCTGCAGGTGGTGGGTCTATTGGAAGAGAGACCCATGTTGTCCTTTTAGTCTAAACCTGACCAGGCCCCATGGGCAAAGGACCCAACTCAAGACCTGGCCCCAGAGGGAAACTGGGCTCCAATGTTTTTATGTTCCATATGTTTTCTTGACGTAAATGTTCATGCCACCTAACATTAAGGGATTTGTAGAGGATGTCCAAAGGGTAGTGAGAAGATTACCCTTCTCAGGACATCATTTAGCTTGGTAACATTTTGTGTAAATGGTTAGAGGCCAGGGCGGCACGGTGGTGTGGTGGTTAGCACCGTCGCCTCACAGCAAGAAGGTTCTGGGTCTGAGTCCCGGGGCACCCACAACCTTTCTGTGTTGAGTTTGCATGTTCTCCCTGTGCCTGTGTGGGTTCAGTCCCTGGACTGTCCAGGGTGTACCCCGCCTCTTGCCCAGTGACCACTTGGATACGGCTCCTGCGACCCCGTTAGGGGATGGGTGGATGGATGGTTTGAGGCCAAGTGATTGGTGTATGACTGTTTCTGTATTTTCTTTTGATTTTAATATTAGAAAATGTGGAATAAATTAATAGTTAAGTTAACTTTCCAAACACCGAATTTGGAATACTACATTGTCAGAATAGTCTTCAAAAATACATTATAAACAAGCTAGACTGATTAAAAAATATGACTGTCACAGATGAGACATTCTCTAGGTGGGCTAGGTTTGACAAGAAATTGGCCACAAATCACAAACGTTTAGTGCACATTGGACAGATTTTGTTATACCTAATTAGCATTAACCTGGATGTAAGAATCATGCATTTTCTACTAACCAGCAGAGGGCACTAGGTATGCCTAACAAGCCTGCACAACAACCACAGGTTCATCTGATTTGATCTTTATGGTCAGACAAGGAGCGTGGCCTGTTCATGCTATTGTGATACATGCATGCTTACATACATTGCAGCTCGCTGTATTAAATCTGGACAAATTATCCATGAATCTAAAATAAATAAAACCCAACAGAGGTGTTTTTCAATTATTTTGTGTTCTAGTTTGTTCACTATATAGCCAAATAAATAATGTATACCTCCACAATACAGTCAAGCATTTACAATAGGCATAAAAAAAACTTTTATTTCCTTAAATGGTAAGATTACCCTTCTACCCATTTTAAGCATTAATAATCTTTTAACAAACATCAAAGTCCAGACAATAAGAGAGCTGCTTTGCTGAGATTTTGATGACAGTAGTACAATGAATATCATAGACTTGGGCAACCTGTAGAAGGAGACCGTATATATTTAAGATTAAAGAAATCCCATTTGAGGAGAAACTACTGTCTGGGCTATTGACTAGATCCTCACATGCCACGCAGAAATTTATACAGTTGAACTGAACGTCACTCGGAAACCAAAGCAAAATTTACCAACAACTCAGGCTCCACTCACACAAGAGGCCTGAGATTTATTGTCTGCTGTTGGACCAATTTGACAACAGAATCTCTGCAGTCCATAACCCCTGATTTGATTATAAGCAAGAAAGAAAAAATACATTTAAAAAGTAAAATTGTCATGAAATGTCTAAATGTAATTGGAAACCAGTAGTTGCATGTCATGAAGAAATACGCCAACAGAAAATTCTCTTTCTGAATTAAATAGAGACCCTAATACAAATAAATTATATTGATGACTTTTTGTATCTTCAGAAACTAGGTGTACCATTAAAAGATACAATTCTTGTAAAAATGTCAACCGCCTGAAGGATTTAGCAGTCCGAATGGTCAGTACATGTAATTTAAGATAAGATATTATTTGACATTCAAAGGGGACCTTCGAAAGAGATGTATACTTAGAACTAAAAGTACAGAAATACATTTTAAAGAAAGGCTTGATATTTTTATATATGCTGGCAATATTTTTTTACAAGCAAGTGTACCAGAATATCAAAGTAATCTGACCTCTTCCACTGCTCATGCAACTCTGAATAGATATATCTGGCTAGGGAGGGCTGTGTGACTCCTTTGAACAGGTCTTTTTCAAATGTTAATTGCCATTGCTGTTCCTTGGGACTATTGACATGGTTGCAAATGCTGGTATGCTATCACTGCCACCCAATAAGCATCTGAGCAGTTTCCAGATCTGAGCTGGTTTCTGCTGACTGCTCCACTGCTCACGTGTTTATTCTCCCACATCATCAAAGGCAGTCGCTTATTGATGAAACCTTTCATTCCTCCCTGTGTGTGTTAGGTGTTAATGTGTTTCTCCTAGCCGTTAACTCTCATGTAGATTTTCATTGCAATTCTTACAAAAACAAATTGTTAAGCTATTGAGAAAGCTTATTTATTTGTAAAGATAGAAAATATGGTTGAATAAAGTGGCTTCAATTTGACAGCCACTCCCAATATGGATTATTCGGCTAATATATTATTTTGATCATTTTCAGGTAAAATGTGCTTCTGTTTGGTGACTTAATAAAAATAACTATATAAATCATCTCTCATTAGGAATTTAAAGCTTAAAGTTGATTTAAACCTATTTAGGCAGTTAGATAAGTCATGAAGATATATAGAGTGAGGTACAGACATGTTTAAATTTTGAAGTGCTTTTAAATACACATGTAAAATATTTTTTAAAGTATGATGCAAATAGGAGCAGTTTTTTAGGTGACATATTGTTTTTTTGTTTTTCCGCCTAGTCTTGGCTCTTATTGTTATCCTTTAAGCATAAACAACTGCACAATTAATTTATTTAGTTTGTTTATTTTTTTATTTGTTTTATTTTTGCAATAAGATGGTTTAAAAGCAAAATTTTCCTCAAATTAATTTAGTTGATTGAATTAAATTTTACCTCTTTTGTGTGTGCATGTTTGTGTGTGTGTATATGTATTTAAAGTAAATGATATCTGGATTGATTTTAAAATACAGTATAAAAATGGTTGTGTTCTGCATTTAACAGAAACTGCCAGTAGAGATCACTATTCATGCATAAGAGTTCCTGCTGCTTTCAGAACGAAAAGAAACTGGTGGAAGGAGAACATAAATGACAGTCAGCTCTCACCATTAGTTCTGTGTCAGCATTCAGTACGCATATGCAGCATTTGTGACAAAATTGCTTTTAAAAATGGTCTTTTTTATCTTTCTGTTTACTGTAATGTCAATGCAAACCATGGCACGGACATTTTATTAGTCTGTCTATTTAGGACGATAAAAAAAAACAATAAATCATCAATACACACCTCAATACACAAGGTTGGTCCACTGTGTCTGACCCGAAGTCCCAGGACATTCTTTTATGCTGAGGGAGTTAACCTTGAAACTTATTTGAAGTCATTGTACCTTGCAGCAATTCATTGTTTTGTAGACCTTCAGCTCAACAAGTACTAGCAGTTCGCAAGTATCTGTAATGGTGGATCTCAAAAGAAAGACTCAAGACTCAAAAGAAAGACCAAGCCTCTACAACTATGAATAACAACACAGCAGTTTCCCAGTTGGGGCACCTGTGTTTGGTCTTTTCGGTCCCACGGTGGGTCTATTGGGCTCTCTGAAGGCTCTTTACAGTCGCTAATACACAAAAACAACAATAGCAGATTCTCCAGTAACGTCCATGCATGACTGAGCTGTGACTTAATCCAGGATGTTAAAATACAATACGTTTTATAGGTTCTTGAGGGGTTAGACCAAGTGTCAATAGTGGTGAGGTAACTAGAAGGGCATCTTTGAGCTAATTATTCAACATGAATGTTTAACTTGCGTTTTGTTTGTTTCAGTCATTTTGAATAATGTCAATTAATGTGCAATCACCTTTAAAATCGATTTTCTAATTCAACCAAAGTTTCACAATTCAATATAAAAGTCATTCAAAAGGCCTGATTCAATCAACTACTGACATATTAAAATGTACAAATTACTCAAAATTCACTATATTTCACAGTACACAGGGATTTTGAAAAGTGGTAATGTTTTCTTCTAAATATTTTTGCAGCAATGACAACAATCGATAGCCTAAAAAACCCAATCAAAGAGGTCATATGACCAAATTGCTTTGTGGTGCAGTTTCTTTGATTTTTGCTTTATTTCTTTCAACATGTATGAAAATTAAATCAGTTGCAAAGACAACATTTTTTCACATCAGTTAATCTCTGTTTGATCTATAGTCTTTTAAATAAGCAACTATATAATTTAATTTAGTGAAGTTGTAGTTGAAAATGTTCTATTCTAGTCTGTATTTTACATAGTTGTTTTTTTCAAAAGATGTGAAAAAACACAATTGTGAAAGAAACACAATTCAAGAGTTGCGATAGTTTGGTCATTAATGAATGGTTCTCAGTAGTTTAAGAGTGAGGCTCAAAGCTACAATGACAGTGGTTTAACTCCGCTTGGTCAGTGGATGTGTGGACAGAGGTGTGTCCAGCTTTGGTGGGTGCACCATGGTCTATGTAGAGGTCAGGACATAGTGACCATCTGTAACCTGTGATTTTACTGGTGGCCACAATCTGGACCTGGAACGGAAGATGAACTGTAAACTGTGAGGTTGACCAAGGTAAACTCTGAGCCCAGAAGACTGTCAGAGACCTTTTGAGTTAACTATTGTTTTCCCCAGGTTTTCTCAGGCCATATGATGAAGTATGATGTGTCCATTCCACAAGACAAAATGTACAAGAATCAGAAATACTATGGATCAATGTAACAACACTCTGACTCTTAACCCATTCGAAAATATTCTCTATGATATCTGTTGGTAAAACCAACAGATTGGTAAAATGTGACACAGACCCAAACTGTCAATGGATTAAAGTGTTTAAGACCTAGAAATATATAAAAGTACATCTGTATAATAATTTTTTAATGAAATTTTAAAAGTTTATTAAGTTAGATTACTTCATACCAACAGACAATTTTTAACTAAATTTGATACTTGCTTCCTCAAATACATCAGAATGTCTGTATGTTCCTGTCCCACTGAGGCCTTGTATGTTTTGGGCCACAGACATACAAAATAGCAGTTATTAAAAGTTGCAGGAAGACACCCAATTTCAATCCATATTGAGATATATTTCTAAAACCTTATATGTAATAATACATTTTTAAATATTTCCTTTGGGTAATATTGTGAAGAATATACCTAATGATGGTTCATGTTTATTGGAAAGAATCTGAGTCTGAAAAAAAATCTTCTTTCTACACACTATGATCTGGTCCATCAAATCTAGTAATTTTCATATTCACACATATTCCAAGAAAAAAAAGACTGTAGGCTTACTTACTTGACTAAACCAACCAAAAGTTGGTTTAATATCCCATGCAACCAACTCCTACAATGGGTTTGGATACAGATACTTTGCTCAAGACAATAACTGACTAAAAGTAAACAGCTGATAAGATTCTTTTTTCGATTTGAAAGATGAATATTTTATGGACCTATTCATACAGACTGGATCACTCTCTAATCTATCAACTAATATGGTTCAACTATTGAATTTAAAAGAGAATTCCATCGCCAATTCATTTGCAGAGATAACAATCTCCAAAGTTTTCTAGACCACGCTCTTTTTTCCTGATCCAGCTTTTTGTGTGACAACCAGTGTTATTGCCTTGGAGAAACATAGACATCTCATCATAATTTGTCCAAATCACAGCACAGCCCACATATAATGAGCAGGTCACCACAGTTATGATGATTACAGCATCAGGATTGGTCAGCAGGCTACAATTTTAACTACTGGGAATTGGAAGACTGGGTAGAAAGAAAATGAGTGAAAGTATGTATGGAAATAAGTATGAAAAAGTATGTTGTAGGTTGTACTCTTCTTGTCAAAGTCGACAAAGAAGTTTGTTCTGGCTTGGCTGTTGTAGTGATTAAAAAATTCGACAGCAGTATACTTGCACATGATTTTACTGTGGCCTAATTCATGCAAAAATGTTTCTTTAAATTAATTTCTTATGAAAAGATATGGTATAGATAGTAATTTGGTAACCAAATAAGATCTCCTAAGACTGAATATTACACATTATATTATTATTGCTATTATTATTATTATTATCAAAATAACAGTAATAATAAAAAAAATCCTATTAATTTGCTTTTTCATACTGAATGTCTAAAAAATTATCACTTTCATTTCTTAAATTTCATACAGCATAAGGAGTTCATGCCATATGCGTTTTTTTTATAACAATAAGAACAATTCTAAATAGTTACAAGTATTTTGACAGAAGTTTTTTTCAAACATATATTTGTACATGTAGCATAAAACAAAGAATCTCAAAAGCATATATAAAACCTGATGTCATTTTTTAAATTTGTTGTATTACAAGATTTAGATTAATTTCTTATATTCTGGTGCCTTTAACATTAAAACTACATGAAATATATGAAATGGGACAAATGAGTGCAAAAAAGTGGAAAGAAAAGGTATTCAGTGACTACACTAGAATGACAATATCAGCAATGACTTTGAAAAGTGACAACAATTCTAATTGAACTGCACTAAATAATTTGTTGTACTTAATGCAATTTTAAGTAAAAAGAAAAAAAAAAGTAAAAAGGTAAAGTTGGCAACCTGTTAGAATGTCAGAAAATATTCTGTGGTAAAAAATGTTAATGATTGCCATTAATTTATTAGTGTTACATTAGTATGGTTTTGAGATGAGCAAATTATTATATAGTTAGATCTGCATTAGCACTTAATGCAGATTAACATATCACAACACGGACAAAAAATCAAACCCAATGATCCAAAATCTGGAATGCAGAGATGCTCCTTCTCGGTATGTTTTCACTAATTTATGTTCTCAAGTTTTTAAAAAGATTTACAGATATGATTTATTGTTTTCCAAGCAATGGTCTAATAATTCTAGCACATTCTTATGAATTTCCTATTGGGCATTCTGTGTGTATAGTTTGAGTTTTGTACAATGTCTGCAGCATGTATTTCTACAGGGCTACAAAGAGACAAACATCCACACATTCTCACAGTCACTCCTTGGGGCAATTGAAGTGTCCGGTTGACCTAACATGTATGTTTTTGGAGAAGTGGGATGATGCCAGAGTACCTGGAGAGAACCGAAACAGGGAGAACATACAAACTCCACACAGATATGTCCCTGTTCCCCTCGGGGACTCTAACACCACACCCATGTGCCAACCTTTCAAATATATACAGCTACAACAAAAATGTGTACATTAAAATAGAAAAATTCATAGAGACTAAAATAGAGTACATTTTTTAATATAGAGCTGATTGGAAATACCAAAAACATGGTTATGATATGATTTATACTTGAAAGATAAAGTGTATATCTTTTTTAAATGATATTGAATGATCTTTTCAGAGGTAATTACTAATGTGTTTTGAGAGCACATATACAAATGTTTACACATATGAGTGAAATTAGAAAAGGTGTGTGACAGGAAAACTATTAAGAATAATAGCCCTGTGAAAACTACAATTGTCTCTCTTGGTCCCCTTACTTTGGGGTAAGTGGAAATTCTTATTTTTAACTTTTAACAAATTTGTCTTCTTCATCAGCTGAATATGACTAAAAAATAGTCCTCCTAATACATGTGTCAGGAAAAATTATCAAACTTGTTACCTACAGACAACTAATTTATTAATGTGTAGAATGACTATTCTTTGCACAAATTTAAAATTATTAAATGATAGAGTGACTGAAAAATTGAGGGAAATTCCAATTGTAGCTTGATAGTGAAAGTATGTGTTTAGCCTTTGTTCAGTTTATGCTAAAACAAATAAATAGACTAATTCAACTAATAAATAAATCAGAATTAATTTATTAATCCCTTGTGGGAAATTCTTAAATAATCATGTCAGAACAACTGTTTGCCATCACAATTAAAAAGTCTAAAACAGAAAATATCCTCCTCATCCACAGCACCAACACAGTCCAGCCCTTTGCTTATCACAGAGGTGGCCTTTTTACTAGTTTGTACAGACCCCTACAGTTATTGTCTGTAGGGCCACTCCCCCAGCAGACAATAACAAAACAGTGCGCTCTGAATGACAGCGTGATAAAACATGTACAGCATGTCTCTGCAGACACTGAAGGACCTGAGCCGTCCCAGAATGAAGAGAATGCTCTGTCCCTTCCTGTCAGACCAATCTTGTTTATTATCCAGCAATACCCCCGTGTATTTGTAGGTCCGCCCAGTCTCTATCTCCTATCCATAAAGGCAGACTGACTGTCATGGTGTTTTACATCTCTGTGTTCCATCATCAACGCTTTGGTCCTAGTGGTGTTCAAAAGGAAAAAGTTGTTTTTAGCTCCAACCGGTAAAGGCCTCCTTACTTCCCCTCCTGTCTCGTGTGCACGTCACAACTGCTGGATCATCAGAATATTCCTGTATGTAGCAGGACTCTGACTTGTACTTGAAGTCTTGAATGTGTAGGGATTGAAAAGATGTCAGGGTCTGACCTTTTCTCCCCATCTTGAAAAGAAAACAGATCTCCCCATCTTGACATACTGATCTGCTAGTTGGATAGTTTTGAATCAACTGTGTCAGGGAGGTTGACATCCCATACCTTGAAGCTTGTCTTTCAGTCTTTCAGTGTTGAAGGAACGGGAAAAAATCTAAGAAAAATATTCTCACATATGAACCAGGCATATCCAGACAAGCATATGTCTGGTGCTGCATGTATAGAATAATGCCTTCCACTCCTGTGTTTCTAGCAAACAAACCAGAGGGGTCAAGATCCTCCCCAACCTGCAATTTCACGCGATGAACGGGGAGTCTCTCCGTGCTCTTCATCATTATGTCACAGCTACCAGTCTTTAGTCATTCAGCTCCACCTGCAGAATGACTACAGACTAAATGAGAGATTATTTGGTCACTGATATGAGACAGGATGTTTTCCACCCCACTGGGACTTGGTCTATCTGAAGACTCATACGTAAGAGTTCCTGCAGAAAGACTGCCTGTACTGTAGAACTGCATAGTTCCTCAGAAGCCTTGGACAAACTCGGTAGCTAAGCTCCCAACTCCCACACTCTGTAATTGGAAATTATTGGGGACGCTAAGGTTGTAGTGGAGGGATGGCAGCGGGACTGCTGTTGGGATCAGTCACAAAGATTGGGGGTTGAGGAAGCTTGGTTCGGGAGGCCTGGTGATGGGAGCTGCTACAAAGGTAGCAGCTCCCATCACCATTTCTGGGCTGTGGAGAGAACAGCTAAAGTACCGGGGGAGGAGGGGGAGAAGCAGCAGAGGTTGAAAAAGCCACACAACAAAACATCACTATCTGACTGAGAGTTTGTCCATCTGAATCTAGTCATTGTCCTGATGCCCCTCTACAACCCTTTAATGCCATTGGTGTCAAACTCCCTCTGGACCTTGTTCTTGCACACCACCTTAGCTTGATGTCTTTTTGATCTGCTGTTGTACTCTGCTAAGCTTTTCTTCATCACTGTCATTAAACACCCTCCTTCTCTGGTTTAAACTCGATGTCCATTGTTTATAATTAAGATAGTACCGTAAGATCCTCATAGCAATCACAGGAATCCCAGCATAAGTTAATGTATTCTGTGATGGTGACATCAAAGTTCGTTTCTTCAAACATCATAGATCAGTCTTTGGCAACCTCAAAAGCTGGCTCAAATAACCAGAATTACCAGAATTATGGATGGCCGATGGTTAGTCTCACACCACCCGACAAAGGAATCGATACCAACCCTGTACTCCTCCATCCCCTCACTTACAAAGCCAACAACTGCAGAATTGACCAAGAACTTCTGCAGGTGCCAGGACTCAGAGTACAGCTGAAAGTCAGAGGTGTACAGGATGAACGGAAAAGGGGAAAGAACAGTTCCCTGTGGGTACCCCGTGACCACATTGTCAGACACACAGTCCTGCAGACTCTGAATGAACCTGTCAGATTGTCTGTCATCCAGGAAACCGGGCCAGAGTCCACCTACATCCCTATCGGCTTACATCCCAGCAGTGAAAGGTCAGATGTATTTGAATACATTGGAGAGGTAAAAAAATAAAATAAAAATTCTCACAAAACCTCCCAGTCTGTCCAGGTGGGTGCAGACACAGTGGAGCATGAAAATTGAGTCCTCCACTCTCAGTCTCAGCTGGTAGGCAAAATGAATAGGGTCCAGTGACGAGCTGACCTGGGTTCGAAGAAGTGACAAGATCAGTCTCTTGAGGGACTTCATTAGGTGGGATGTCAGCGCCACCAGTCTGTCGTGAAGATTCGTGTGCCATTGGTGTCGATGGGGGTGGGGGGAGGTGATGGCAGGGAAGACCGAACAGGTAAGAAGTTGTCAGGAGGGAACAATAATGGAGGTAGGACAGCAGGACTGACGGTTTGATATGGGCTTAATGCAGAGGGTAGCTAAGTTCTTCAAGATAAGGGGAGTGGGCATTCAGAATACAGTTGTTCCTCTGGAAAAATAGAAAATAAAAGAAGCATATGTAGAAATGAGACTTTTCTTTCTGTCTTGAATACATTTAAATATTGTGACACTGCTCATAAGTGACCGAAGAGAGAGGAGACTAAGAACAGAGGAGGATGTTAACCCATTGCTGGGTCACTGATGTATGGAATGATCCTTGGGTGAAGGGAAGTATAGGCCAGGGTAGAGAATGCTTGTAGGTAAGGACTGTGCACTTTGCACCACACACTCATAATTTCATAAGTTATGTTTCAGTACAATTCTAAGTTAAACAACAATTCTCTAAAAGCCTTACCTTACATATTTTAATTCAATTCAATTCAATTGTATTTATATAGCGCCACATCTCACAACAACAGTCATCTCACAGCGCTTTCCAAAGTAGGTCAGACCCTACTCTGAAGTTAATTACAGAAACCCAACAATTCCCACCATGAGCAAGCACTAGGCGACAGAGGCAAGGAAAAACTTTACTATTCCATCTGTGTGTTTATTTGTCCATGATGCACTGCACGGATAACACTGCACATATCATTAATTTGACAGTTGGTAACACAAAAAAATCTGACTTTGAGTAAGGTAGATGATAACTAAAGTAGTGCATGCCTGTGATCATCCGTTGTAAATCTACTGTCACACTAACTCTACCTAAATGTAAATATGTAAATTCAAGGGTAACTGCTGGTTTTAGCGTCTATAAGCTTATACTTTAAACACGTGACAGGGGGGCTGTGGGTTTAGGTGTATGGCTCGTGATTTACTTGTGAAAACAGATGTGCATATGTGGATTTATTGATTCATTTGCATTCTCTCAAACTACCCTAAACAAATAAGATACAATGAAATTTTGGGATAATTTTCACATTTTTATATTCTTTAGAAATGAAAGGGTTTGGATAATAAATCTGCATTCTTAAATCATAAAAACAACAGTGACGTGTGTTCTTTCTCAATTAACAGACATTCAGTTATCAGCAAATTTTATCAGCCTAAAGTTGTAAACAAGTTTATAAGAGGCTGTTATTTTATGCTTTCAAATTATGCCTTACAGGAGAGTGACTTAAAAACTGGGCATTAAAAACGATAATCTTATTATGTATCTTTTTTTATTCATGCTCGTTCGGCACCAAGGACAGATCAGTGTTCCTGGTCATAATGACCCCTCACATCCTCGAGACATTTGTCCAGATTTATGTTGCATCATTATGTTAAGCAATTACTTTGAACTTAAGTTTAGGCTACTAACCCCTCCAAACATATACACAAGCACCACCACTGCAGCTCCCCAGGTAAAAAAAGATGTTTGAATCAAGGGGAGGGGCAAGGGGAGCGTTGGGTGTCCGCTTTTGTTCTCCAGAAAAAAGGGGGGCTTGTTCACAGGAGATCAGCCTTCCATTTCTAAGCTTAACGCTGAAGAGTGGGATGGATTTTTTATTTGCTTTTAAAGGAGACAAAATAGAGTCCTGCGTAAATTATTCCTTTTGCAACTGGAACCACTTTTATAACACTGAGGACCACCAACCAGTCAGTGTATCCAACCACGGGTCTCTCTCTCTCTCTCTCTCTCTCTCTCTCTCTCTCTCTCTCACACACGCACACATCCACACACACACCTGAAGGCCGCAGAAAAACAACAAGGAATACTCTGCAGAAGGAGAAGTCTGACAGCCCGGACCAGTGAGAGGAGAGCAACACCTTGCAGCGCTTTCCCCCCCTAAAACTTAAACCAAAACCCGCCGAGAGTTTTATCATAAAGAACAATTTGACCAAGATTTAAGAAATGAAATTTCCTTTCGAACAGTAAGAAGTCCGTCAGTGCTGACAATTGATTTGATGAAAACTTTGTCAGCTCCGCGTCCATCAGTGCTTCAGACCTGGATTTTGCTGGATTTGGGGTTAAATCTTTGGACTTTGTGGCTTGGCTTGAGGATCGTTGAATTTTGCCAGAATCTTATTACTACAAAAGGACTCTCATTGGTGTTTGCCTGAAAGCAAGATCTTTTCATTTTTTCCAACATGCAACTCTTCTTTTCCAGATTAAGCTTTGCGTGAGTCATCTTGAGTTTAATTCGGATGTTGATGCACTTCACTCCAATTCTGATGTTCAAATTTGATTTTTCTTCTTCTCAGGTTGCTGCACGTATTTGTATTTTGCCACTATACTCTGGTAAGTCACCGAATTTAATTCTTCCTTATTTATAGACGCGTCTCTAATATCAAATATTAGTTTGCGACCACGAAAAAAGAAAATGTAAAAAAAATATTAAAACCAAGAAAAAGCTATTTGGTGCATTATGCATAGTGTGGAAAATAGGTTATGGTTTATGAAAACATTTGACTATAAGCAACACAAGCAGCGGCGTTCGCGGCCTGTTGGCACTTTGCAGATGAACATGCGGTCGAAGGAAATGATTGGAAATAATGTGAAAAAAAAACTGTCACGGAGTTTGAACTAGAGAAATCGAAATGAAACGAATATGCGAACTCAGTTGTATAATAATGGAAATGTGTGTAGGGGTTTTTTTTTTCACCAAGAAGGAGCACAACATCTGTTCCGTTCAAAATAGGTTTCTCTCCTCTAACAGTCCTTTTCACACACACACAACCTGTAATCACACTGAGTTTCCTTTTGGAAGAAGCTGCTTTCATTTGGCTGGAACGTCTTAGCAGGGAAAAAAAACGACAACGACACGTTTTGTCCCTGAAATCCTCATCTTAAAATCATTTCAATCATTAAAAGTTGGTCCTATCAATTCGGACTGTCTCCTCAATTAGCTATGGGGAAAGATAAAATAGGCATAGGCATAAGCAGATTTTTGAAAAAAAAAAACACGCACTTGATGTCATCTTATTTTTTTGACAGGTAACACATCAGTCCCAGCCAAATTTCACACAACACGTGAGCGAGCAGAGCAAAGGGACTGACCGGGTCAGCCGCAGGTTGATTCGGACCTATCAGCTGTACAGCCGGACTAGTGGAAAGCATGTCCAGGTTCTGCCCAACAAGAGGATCAACGCCAAGGCTGAAGATGGGGATGTGTACGGTAAGATATATCCCAAATTCTTTCTATCTATCTATCTATCTATCTATCTATCTATCTATCTATCTATCT